ATGTCATAAACATATGTATATAATTCTTTGTCGATGGCATCTTGCATTTCAGAGCTGATATCATAAAGTTCTTCGTATCGTAACCTATCAAAGAATAAGCCCAGGGTGAAGTAGTATGTTGAATTTTGTTATGCGATGCCATATTGAAACCCACGAAACTCGTAACAACATGGTAAACCATTGTATTAAATCCACGATCAAGATAGGTTTTTTGTCCCCGTTGTTCATTATCAAACGCAAGAAACAAAAGGCCCTCGGGTAATGGTTCTTCACAGTCCGATAATCCTTTTTGAAATCGATGATAGCTTCCTGCACTTGTAATATGGTTATCAATGTTGATAGCCTTCTTCGATCGTGTAATTGAATGCTTGACAGCCGATGCAGCAAGCTGAATTTCTGATACATATTTCCCATGTCGTGCACCATATATTGAATCAACCGCGACAACGGTCTTAAAAAGTTTCTCCGGGCTCAAGGGAATATTGTTGTTGTTCCGAGTCAGAGTTTCAATGAATTTAACGATGACTTGATTACGTTTACGCAGCCATTCATGCGGCTCATATACCATGATATTATCTATCGAAAACCTATTGTTATCTCGGACTAACGATTCCACATCGCTGTATAGTGATATGCATTCTTCGTTAGCTATTTCAACGATTGCGTCAACACGTTTACAGTGATCAGCAAATCGTGAATTCCACGTTTCAGTAAGAATTTCATTCTTTTTACTTTCTTCCTCATACAAATTCCGAAGCTCTTTCATATCTTCGTAAGCCTGCTGTAGTTCTTTCTTTAGTTTTGCGATTTCAGTGCTCTAATCCTCAAGGTGCATTCGTATAATCTGATTGTTCAGCTTTGTTATAGACTGAGATTTCTGTCGATTTTCTGACTGAGCGATTTCATCTTCACCATAATCGAGCCGGGTCGTTTTACTTTCTTGACTGCGATTTGTAAAATGCTGGTAAAATTGATTAGTAGCAATAATTTGGTTGTAATGTTTTTCACAAATCGCAAATGACTTTAACGAAGAATGTATATTAGCAAGTTCAGAAATATATTTATGAAAGGGCGCAAGTCGCTTAGCTGTTTCCTTGGTGCTTGCATGCCGCCACATTGGTGTTCTTTCGTTTCACATGATCTCAACCCAACTTCACCATATGCTTCAACTAAACTCGCAAAGATGCAGGGAATGTCTTTTGCTCTTGGTTTCTGGTAAACGGACACTGCAAAAAAAAATGGTTGAATACAACTTAGTTAGCGGAAATATGTTCTTCATTTCGTCTTAATACGTTAACGTATGCAAAAACAGTAATTTTCACGTCTCATTTACTTTTTCGAAACGAGTTGATTATTTTTGATTATTGGCAAATATGAAAAGTATAGGTGTTTTTCTATATGTTTGTATGGTTTTTAACCGCGGTCAAATAGGGTGAAATTTCGCAAAGAATGTAGACGTAAAGAGTGTTTAAGACAATCAAATTTCAAGAATTGGTCCGCAGATTATTCTAGAACTCGTTTCCTTTTTTAGTATATTCCTGACTGTAATATCAGGTAAATTCCGATTATCAAACAAATGGACGCAATATAATTCTTATACATGTTCTGTCCATCAGCCCAGAACATATATTTGTCAACGGTGATTCCTGGAAAGTTTACGTCAGCCGCATCGAGAATCGAGCACATGACAAGAAGAAATTTCAATTGACAGGCATAGGCAAACCTCAGCTCGACCCTCAGATCTTTGCAATGCAAAATTAAAAATCATATGGTTAAAGTAGGAAGAAAATTTAAAATGCTCACTAATATTAAAAAAAAAAAGCTCCGTGAGTACCGACAATTTATTTGTTTCAGGCTTAAGACGCTTAAAGCGGGAAATTGGGAAAAATTAGATGAATTATTCAACACAAGCAAGCATGGATATTTATTTAGAATAATTTTTCCATTCGCTACTAAATCAGTCACGTGAATTCGATAAGTCGGTCTCCCGAGTTTCAGAAAATAAAAGTCCGACTCTTATAAAAGGAATCGAGACAGATGGTACGGTCCAGGTTGGCCTCCCACTATTGCTAACACGACACCAATGATTACTGGACGTGCCAAAAATTACGTAAAAAAAATGACGGAGGCTTCTCAAATTTCGGCCTCTTTTTGTAATTTCTTACTTTTAGCACTACTTTGGTAAGCAGCAATTAATTCTTTCTTTTTTTGCTCTCCAAAGTGGAGTTACGGCCCCCCGCCACACAGCGTATAAAGTATAATTTTTGTTTAAATACATTAAGTAATTGGTCACTCCTAATATTGACAGAGTGACTAGTCGAACTGCAAAAACTATGACCATTTGAATTAAAATAAAATCGCTGCCCGCTCTATAATAATCCCAGCGTTTTAAATAATCTGTACCGTCTTTTTTAGTGTGCGCCCAGTAATTACCGCAATAACACAAGGGTAGCGAAAATAAACCTCTATTTAAAAAATTCAATTAAGCGACGCCAGAACTAAGATTTATAATCTCAGTGAAAATCAATGACATCTAAGCAAAAATTAGAATTATTAAATAAAGAACTTACTACTTAAAAGAAAAGGTTATTCAGAAATTACAGACGCTAATACCAAACTCCAAAAATCTAATCGTAAAGTAGAAGAACTAACCAGAAAATCAGTTGCTTAATCAATCATCCAATCTCGTTTTTGTTTGCGGACATTATGAAGGATTCGACGAGCGAATTAATTATTACGTTGATGGTCCATCAACAGTGCAATCACATTCTCTGCCAGAAAGTTCAGCATTTCGTTATCCACTCGACAACTTGGTAACAATACGTTTAATCCCCCGTTGAGAAGGGCGAGTGGTAATTTCCCCCTGATTATTATGCCCCACGTGTAAACTTATTTGGCCTCATTGAAAAGGTTCCAGATCTGAGGTAATTTGCATATAACGTTTCTGTAGATATTGCAAAACTGTGAAACAAACGTACTGATTTTTTCCTCTCTTCGCTAGCACTTTCCAAAACCAAGAGTTTCCCTCTGTTTTTGGAAAGATCGTATAGTCTTCGTTGGTGTCCGCTCAGGCTGTTATAGAATCGCAGAAGTCGTGGATCAGTAGAGACACTAGTGGCTGTAATAGGGGCTGTAGAAAGAACAGGAACATCTTCATCCGGTTCTTTCTGACCTCGTTCAGGTTCAGACTGCTAGTCTTCAGGCAGAGTTGTGATATTATGAACGTCATCACTTGCTGTAGACATTTTATTGGATGTGGGATGAGAGGGGAGTTCTTTGAATGAATCAGGCCATCTGATTTATACTAGCAACCACATTTTCTCGGAAGTTCTGAAACAAATTTCGCTCTTGTTCTTGTTGAAGACACTCGTATTAATCGGGGAACAACTGAAACGAGCTGTTTGGGGTGATGATGTAAGTGAATTTCGTATTAAAGCATGTCGGCAAAGTTGGGTAATCTGAATGAGAAACACCATTTCGGCCAATATACAACCGTTTGTTATTGAGTTTGTTACTGTCCCTGTAGACTCGGTGACGTTACTTTCTCATACCGTTCTCCACAAACCAATAATGATTCTCCAACGTAACGATACTTCCTGCATATTCCAATTATTCTTTCTCGTGCAGACCTTGAAGAGTTTTCATGTTCTCTAACTTTTCATCTTTCTCTTCACCAGATCCATTGATCATTCCATCTGGCTGTTCAATTTCATTCTTGCCGCCAATATTTCGTCTGCAAACATCTTTCTCAAACTTTCTCTACTCTTCAACTTTGCGTGGTAGGAATAAGTGGAGATGGATTGGTGTTGGTATTCAGTGACGTTCCAGAACGTAATAATGTTGAACTTTTCTGGAAGTGGCGGAGAGATGGAGATAACGTCTGTAGATGCAGCAGTGGTAAAAGCAGACTTCTTTCATCAGGCGTTGCGGGAATGGCGAGGACGGGTGCAGAAGAATTGGAAGAGACATTTGTGAATATTGGAGTGAGCGTAGAAGGGTTGATATTGAATGGAAGCAGAACTGTCATTTGAGCTGCCACTTGAAACATCACTTAATTCGTCATTAAAATAATTCTGTTGAGTTTTGATTCGGATTTAATAAAAGCTATGCGTCGACCACCCAATTCCAGCTCCATCCTTTTATCGTCTTAATAGGGTTTCCAACATTTCTGTAGCTTTGGAAGACTCGGAATTTGTGAATGTCGGTATATGTTGGCAAAGACCGTTTCGTTGCGGGGATGATGGAATATGACATATGCTTGTACTGCTTGATAACCTTATAAGTTAATGTTGTTATCTACACAGCAACATTATATTGTCTAATACTAAGTATAACACACGCATACTAATTCTTTGCGATAGCGATAATAACACTAACAAGTCTTTACATCTAATGCAATTGTCGTAATTGGTTTCTATGAATAAGAACAAGACATTTCGTTTCAATCAGGAGAAAGGGGTAATGTGGGAATTTACTGCGAATAAGCCACGCGGTAT